CAATCAAGAGTCCTAAATAAGATGATATAAAATGTAATTTAAAAATCCAGTCACACCAGTAAAATTTTCTCCATGCCTTGCATCTTGGTGTACTCTGATTTGACAATGCTAATTTAGTTCCTTGAAACAAAAAAGTATGTATTTCAAATATTCTACTCACAGTGCTTTTATTTAATGAATATATAGAACTTGTAAGTACACACAAAGTTTTAAGACTGCTTCCCCAGATCCTCGTATAAAACTTTCTCCAGGAAGAAATGTATTTTTAGACAGATGCAATTTTTGCAATTCTGCTTGCCTCTCCCCTTCATCTACTCACAGAACCCATTTCCGTGGGTAGTTATTCTACCTTCTCAACTCATGTGGCTCTGCATGGTTGTTTCCATCTCTTTTTCAGAGTTCCACGTGACCAAACCCAGCTAATAAAGCACCCAGCTAATAAATCTCTCTGGCCACAGTGATAGGTTCAAAGTTTAAGTAGGCACACTGAAATCTGTTTAGGACTTGTTTAAAGAGAACTCCTTTCTAGTTAGTTTCAGAAGAATATGTAAATTCAGAACTGTTGGGAGCTACCTTGCCTCAAGTTCTGATCATGGATACATTCCCAGTACTAATAAGAAATACTAGAACATAGTAGGTTCTCAATAAATCTTGATTGAGCAGTTAGTTAATAATGAGGAGAGCAAAAAGGGGAACTGGAGAAACTGATTTCCAAGGAACCTGTCAATCTAGCAACAGGTGAAGCCAATTTTATTGCTAGATTTTGCAAACACTATTATGTATGAGTTGGGCTTCCTTCACTTGTAAGCAGCAATTAATAAAAAAAGGCATAAACCTATATATAAATTTACACTATGTATTGGAAAGTTCAGTAAATCTTGTGATTGGTAAGGAAAACATAAATCAATATTATCTTGAGAAAAGATAAAAAACTCAATAGTAAGTAAACAGAAAAAATCAAATAGAAAAAATTATGATGTAATAAAGACTCTAGGCAGGGCTTTTCCCACTTTGAGTAGAAAATTTAAAAAAAAATCAAAGATAGATAAAATTCTAAGAAATGGAAAAATGGACAGTTATATCTTAATTAGAAATAGTACTATCCCAGGAATTAAACATGATTCAATATAGGAAATATGTGATTAAAATTCATTATATTACACCAATTAAAGCTCTTGATCCTTCAAGATAAGCTGAAAAAAATCACTTGACAAAACTCTACACATACCTGTAGTTTAAATTTTTAGAGCAGCAAGTTAGAAACAGAATTAGAATTTAACAAAGGATATCTACCACAAACTCAGAGCACACATCATCCTTCAGGAAAGAACATTTAACAAGCATTTCCCCTGAAGTCAGTAACAAAACAAAAACTTCTGCTGTTTGTCAGTATTTGACATTTTGTGCCAGATCCAGCTAAAGCAATCCTGATTCTAAACAACTATATGAACTATGAATAATTGATAAAAAATAAAATCTCAGCAATCATAGAATGGGATTCTCTTCGATTTTCTAAGTTAAGAATACATCCGCAGACTCTTAAAAGAATTTGGCAGTGTCACAACAGATAGCCATATAAAAATCAAAATGCTTTTATAATAGCAATAACCATTTATAAAATATATTAGAAAAAGAGATTTCAATATAACAAAAATAAAAACCCCAGAAATAAATTTGTCAAAAAAATCTATATTTTAAAAATCTATGAAACCAAGAAATGCTTGCCCACAAGTAATTTGATGTAATGAAGAAAAACAGTGTGCTTAACTAAAAACACTCAGTATTATGGTTTTCTATAAATTAATCCTACTAATATAATACAATCCAAATCAGAACTTCAAGAAAATACGCTCACCAGTAGCCAAAAAATTTTTGAAAAATATTAGGGCTCTATCCCACTAAATCTGAAACCATACCACAAGTATCATCAAAGTAATACATTTATTAGAAATATAAAATGGCTCAATAAAAGATTTTAGTACATTTAATGAAGCAGAATTTCAAATCAGAGACAAAAGAATTAATTTTTCAATAAATTATTTTTGAAGACATTTGAATTTAGGCATGTCTATACCTTACTTTAGTCACACAAACCAATTACAGATAAAGATCTAGACATTAACAACTCACACAGATGCACATTGCAGGAGAAAATACAACTGCAAAATGAACAAATATAAACAAGATTAAAAAAATATGATTAATGTCTTAGAATAAGACAAAATTGATCAATTTGGCTATATAAAAATATAAAATCTCTATTAAAAAGAAATGCTGGGTTGGGGATGTGGCTCAAGTGGTAACGCGCTCACCCGGCATGCGCGGGGCGCTGGGTTCGATCCTCAGCACCACATAAAAATAAAGATGTGTCCACCGAAAACTGAAAAATAAATATTAAATCTCTCTCTCTCTCCTATCTTTAAAAAAAAAAAAGGAATGCTAACTAAGGTTAAAGACAAGCAGTCAACTGGGAAAAAACATTGGAAACAGACATAGACCAATATCTAAGTTTTATAAAAACTTAACCAAATCCATGAGATAAAAAGACAAATCATTCAATAAAAAAATGAGAAGAAGAAAAAGATAACTCACCAAAAAATATGGTCTAAAACAAACATGAAAAGATGCTCATCTGAATTAAAATAAATTTTTTCACTCATTAGGTTAATAAAAATTATAAAGATTTTATTAAAGAGTTCCATGAGAAGGGGAAGTAGCTGCTCATTCTTAGCTGAGGGGAACTGTAAACATGATAGTCATTTTGGAAGCCAACTGGATGGAAGTATCTCTTTAAATTAAAAATGCTTATCCTCTGGCCCAGCAATTCGAATTCTAAGCAATTACTACAGAGAAATTATTACATGCACATAAAGACTCACATAAGATGATGTTCACTCCAGCTCTGTTTAGAATTAGAAGGGAGGACTACCTCAGTGTCCATTTTAGGCCAAACAGATTATGGGACATGATGCAAAATAAAGATCAGTTCAATGAGAATGTACTAAAATAAAAAACAAGTGGTGGGCTGGGGATGTGGCTCAAGTGGTAGCGCGCTTGCCTGGCATGTGTGCGGCCCAGGTTCGATCCTCAGCACCACATACAAACAAAAATGTTGTGTCTGCCGAAAACTTAAAAAATAAATAAATATTAAAAAAAAAAAAAAAAAACAAGTGGTAAAAGCAAGTTGCAGAATGATGTAAAGATCTTTATGTAAAAAACCAAAACTATACATTTTATTTCCTGTGGTTATATATAGAGATTGAAGAGTTGTCAAAAAAGATGTCTGACATTTTTAAAAGTACAATACAGTCACTTATTATGTTTAATTTAAAATTTAAAGATACAGCAATATACACAGACTGATTTTTTAAAAATATATACAAAATTATACTTTATGTTCTTTTCCCCTCCCTCTTTGATGGTAAATGCATAGAAAAGCTTCTGGAAGGTAACCTGCCAAACTAATGTGGGTAATACTATCTAAAGATACCTCCAATAAAAATAACATATTCAACTCAATACTCTCATTTGAAAATATAAAAAAATTCAGTTCATGATTTGTTAAAAAAATGATTTCTGTTGATAGTTATTATCATTTGTTTTAGCTATTTACAATCTTTACAAGGTATACGACTGCATACTGTATTTTTGCCATATTTCTACAATAATTATGTTGAGAACAGGGGAAATCATACTCAGGAAAGTTTTTAAATTTTTTTAAAATATATTTTTTAGTTGTAGATAGACACAATAACTATTTATTTTTAATGTAATGCAGAGAATTGAACCCAGTGCCTCAGGCTAGGCAGGCAAGTGCTCTACCACTGAGGTATAGTCCCAGCCCCTCAGGTCAGTTTTTAAAGGCAGAACTTAAATCATTATTAACATTTCAGTTAGTGGCTTTAACAAATTTATATATATTTTTAAAAGATAACCAAAACTGAACACAAACTTACTTCCCTAGTTTACTAATTCTACATTATTAAATAAAAACATTTTAACATTAAATTCCTTCTTAGTCAATTCCTTTTAAGGACTGCTTTTTTGGGAGGAGATTAGTCTGTAAAACTCTAATATTTAACAAGAATGTTATTGGTGTCTAAATCTAACCAGCTGCATTTTAGGAATGACACTAGTTTTGAGTGTACTAAATAAAAGCAGTTTTTTAGAACACTGTGCTTTTAATTTTAAGAACTGCTTATTTTTAACTTATGTATTGCTCAAGTACTGAAACATAAAAAGGAAAATGATGAGGAAAGAGAAAACTGCCAGATCTTCCAGGTTTTGCAATAGTTGAGACAGAAAAGAAGAGTCAGTAGTTTCTTCCCAAATAAAGCAAGTCATCCGTGAAGAAGGAAAATCTCTTTTAAGGACAACCTTCAATAGAAATTGGAATTCCCCTTTCCTATTATGGGTATCCATTCAATCTTTTTCTATAACAATTTGCCTTGGGCAAGTGCCCATCATACTTCTGATCCAAGAATAAGTTCCTTCATGATTGACATTGGAAAAAGCACTAGGCCTGTATTAGAAATTCAGATTCATCACTGAGATCCCAGTGACCTTATACTGATTCTTCTTCAACCACATATGAAGGCAGTACTAGATGATGTCCAAAATGCCTTCCAACAATAAGAGCCATGATTTCAACAAAAACTATCAAGGAAGGAAACACTCCTTTTTTCTTCATAAGGGCATTTTTATAACTATATTACAGATCCCTTACAACTGATATCTTTAACTTAATTCAGTACTTCACACTAAATATGTAGTATCTCTTATATGTAACATATTAAAAAACACATGCTGATAACAATAATTCAAAAAGCCATAAAAGTACCTAAAATGAAGGAACTCAAAGTAAGTTATCTGAGTAGATTCTTAAGGCTTTCCAAACAAAAGTGGGGGAAATTTTATTTCAAGAAAGTATTTAGCATTTAAAGTACTGAGTTATTTACTATTCTGTAGTGCTGCACTTTTTTCACACTGAACCCATCTAATAAAAATCTTTGCTTTCTTTAATCACTTACGGTTTTTTTTTATAACAAAGCACTTTTGATATAATTTAAAACACACATGCTTTGATTGAAGAGTGACTGTAAATGAATCCAGCTTTCTTCCACTTGTGATGACAACTTTGTCATTTCTTCTAGGAGTACTGGTTCTGTAGGAAGCATTTTAAAGTGTAACTGAAAAGAAAAATGATAGATATTTTATTTAAGAAAATTAAAATTTTACCTGATTTGGATTTTTTTTTCCTACCAAGGAGCCCAAGAAAATACTAATTTTTTCCTTTAAATGCTGGTTTATTATTCTCTCTGATTTCCCGCTTGTTCATTATTTTTTTCTAAATCATGACTTCCTTGATGGACTGTCACTCCCTCAGCAGAACTGAAGTGCTCATCGTTGTTCATCAAACAAAAGTCCTGAACCAAAGTCCTATTTCTAACACTAACTCTAACTAAACTTGGTAAATGTGGAAAAATATACAAATATAATCTGTGGCACTTCTATTGTTCAACCTTGTATGTTACTGTCTAGCTTTTTAATAATTTAAAAATAATTAGATCAAGTGAAAATAAGTTTTAAATAATTAATGAGACAGATAAAAAATCATGTATTACTAAAAATGAGCATCATCTATCCTTCAATGCATTAGACTATTAAAGAAGACCTTCAAAACACAAGCTCTCTATTCTCTCTATTCTGTTAATCATAAAAGCAACTGTTGTGTCAAAACACTTGAAACTCCTTCAACTATAATAGAGGTGAATATTTTGTTTTCAGCAGTAGAAAAACCAAATATAAAATCTGACTTTTTCTTTATGATCGAGAAAAACATAAAATATAACTATTTACAAAAAGTTAATGGTTTAGTACTTTGGATCAAATGATGACATAGGAAAATTACAAGGTACAGTCAATATTGTAATAAAATTATAATAAAAAGTAAAGATTAACAAACCATGTGGTCCAACTACTTCAGTGCAGTAGTTCCTAGCCACATGTGACTATTTAAACTCTAAAAAATTAAAAATTCAGTCTTCTAAGTCACACTGGTCATATTTTCTATATTGAACAACCACAGAAGGCAAATGGCTATCAGATAGGAGAGTGTGAATGTACAGCATTCCCAGCTTTGCAGAAAGTTCTACTACATAATGCTGCTAAGGAAGGAAGGTGGAAAATATTAGACTTACTTTTAGAAACAATGCAAGGTATGCCTGGGCTAACTCAAAATCACGCTTTCTGTCCAACATCATCTCGATCATTTTCAAGAAACTCTGCATGACTTCTATAGATCCACCACAGTCAGGAGACAAATTCCTTAGCTCTGTTTCAATTCCTGATGGGCCCATTTCTTTCAGAAGGCTGAGAGCGGCTTCATCTGCATTAAGTTTTAAAAGGAATCCCATTATTATCTACATTTACTAAGAAGCTACAGTTTTTCTTTCATACCCCACACGAGATATATTTAAATGGCATCAGAAATTTTGAGTGTTAATTTTTTTATGTTAAGCATTTTCACTCCCAATGAGTGAAAATCAGCAAAAATAACAAAATCAATACAATAAAAATATTGAAAGCACTAAATTTTCTGAATTTATAGTAATTTAAACTTTCTTTCCTGCTCTTAAATAAAATCTAATGCTTCATGACACACACTTCAAGGTGCTCACAAATCAATTAGAACAAATTCTAACACAGGAAGACTATCAAGGTACATAACAAACTATTAACAATAATTACCACTGGGTATAAGATAAGGTAGAGTTTTTTTTCTTTCTCCATTTTATTATTATAAAATTGTAAAAGTACATGATAACTAAGAAATAGTAACAATACAAAAATATATAAGGGAAAGGTGCCAGGCCTTCTTCTGATCCTTCAAACCTACTTCATAATTGTTTCATATGCACTCTACAAAAATATACTCAACAAACCATTTTATATGAGATTTGATACTGTAATGGCAATGACTGCTTTTAGCTTTTTGAAACACCACCAATGACAAAAGGCTATAAAAATATTATTTTTATGTCACTCAGTATATTTTGAATAATAGTGGTTTTTGTTGTTTGTCACCCCAAAACACAAGTCTTTCAAGGGCATCTTTTCACTTTTGCCCATGTGGATTTCATAAAAACAAAAGCATTAGGATCATAAACCAAAAGGATAGATCAAATGTTTCAGGAGACTACTTATGATCTTTACAATTGCTTACAGTTAACAGTTTCATTAGTATTAGCTGTAGACCATCACCTTCAAATTTTAAATATATTAGCACATTTAACTCTATACATTATAAAATTTCTATAAGATAATATGGAAATATAAAATTACTTAAGACAAGTCTCTGTTGTACTGAAAATGGCATTCCAAATCAAATATATAAATAAAAACAAAAAGCTTGAAAATTACCTACAACAAAATTGTTATATTTGATACATACCAAGATCCTCATTATAAAAGTTGTCAAAATTTACCCTTCTCCAAATTGGAAAAAAAAAAAAAAACAGAAAATCTGTTTTTGTTTTTTTTTAAATTATTTTCTTTTAGTTGTCAATGTACCTTTAAGCACTCCATCACTGAGCCACAACCTCAGTCCAGAAAATCTAATTTTTCATGAAGAAAGTATGTGGGGTTTTCCATGGATTTTTGCAATATCAATATCACCTGAGTTTAGTGTGACTCATTTAATATAATTTAAAAGGTAAATCAGTTCAGATTAGAACTAAAATTTCAATCCTTTTAGTTTTTACTATATCCTTTTAGCTACTTTCTTTTAGGAATTTAATATTTCCTTCAATTTTTTGTCACATAAAATAAGCTGCAAATACTTGTTAAAATATTTTATAATTTAACTTACACGTATTATTTACCAGTCCTTCTTCAAGTTTCAAGCAGAAATCTGACTTCTGAGCCAAGATCCCAAGATTTACAACTTTAGACTTAAACAAAAACAAACACACATTATTCAAAGAACATAGGTATCACCAAAAATTAATGTTGATAATTACAAACTATCAATAATTTACTCTGTATTTGCAAAACTGAATCTTAATAAAAAATGATACAAAATATATGCAAACATACACTCCCCATATTTTAAAAAATTTGTTCTAATTAGTTATACATGACAATGGAATGCACTTTGATACATCATCTACAGATGGAGTATAATTTCTCATTCTTCTGGTTGTACATGATGTAGAATCCCATCGGTCCTATAGTTATATATGTACATAGGGTAATAATGTCTGATTCATACCACTAACATTTTTACCCCCATTCCCTTCCTACTTCCTTCATTCCCCTCTACCTAAAGTAACTCTATTCTTCCTTAGCCCCCCACCCCTTATTGTGAATTAGCATCTACATATCAGAGAAAACATTTGGCCTTTGGATTTTGGGGATCAGCTTATTTTGCTTAGCAGGATATTCTCCAACTCCATCCATTTACTGGCAAATGCCATAATTTCATTCTTCTTTAAGGGTGAGTAATATTCCGTCTCCCTCCCTCCCTCCCCCCCCTCTCCCCCCCTCCCCCCCCTTCTCTCTCTCCCCCTCTCTCTCTCTCTCTCTCTGAGTGGGAAGCTGGGTCAAATGATGATTCCATTCCAAATTTTCTGAAGAATATCCATACCACCTTCCTTAATGGTTGCACCAATTTGCATTCCCACCAGCAATGTATGAGTGTACCTTTTTCCCAACATCCTTGCCAACATTTACTATTGTTTGTATTCTTGCCACTCTAACTGGGGTGGGATGAAGTCTCCCATATACTTATAATGTTTCAATTTGGTGTTTACCTGCTGGGGATCATTATTTTGTTCAGGTGTAACATATCTGGGTACAAGGCCAGGGACCGTTGGAATAAAAAATGGTGCTGATTTGGGTACTCTGGGTGGTTCCTTTGGTTTATTCTTTTTCTGATTAAGAGAAAATGAGAAAAAGACTAGTAAGTTGTTATCCTGCCAACAGATTCTAATATTTAATTCCAAATCAATTTAAACACAAATATCAAAAAGTAAAAAAGATGAACTTTTTCAGATTAGAATGCTAAAATCCATTTGACCTAATACCTCAGCTATTCTTTTTTTTTTCATTTGTTCTTTTTAGTTACACATGACAGTAGAATGTATTTTGACAAGTATCGTATGTACATGGAGTATAATTTCCCATTTTGTGGTATATGATACGGAATTACATTGGTCACGTAACCATAGCTACTCTTAACCTGGGCTTTTCTAAATTATAGATACCTGTAGCAGTGTTCCTTGATATTAAATTATTAGAATAATTACTACATTTTGTTATAGGTATCTGAATCAGTATTCCTAAAACTTTTTATCACAGCTCATGTTGTGCCTTACTACACACATAAGCTTAGTGATGGTGTATATGTGTGTACACATACATAATTGAATCAAGTTTCACAAAACAATACTTGTACCATCAGAAGATAACTTGGAATTTTCTACTCTATTCTGTTTTTTTCAATTGCTTTTGCTACTTACAATTAGGGGCCATAAAAATACACTTCACTAACATATACCACAGATAATCATTTTTCATGTGAAATTTTAAATTCCTAAAGGACACAGAGCCTCAGTTTACTGTAACTGCTGTAGTCTCAGTACATTATCTAGTACCTATGTCATGTTAATTTATGTTTGTGACCCTGACACAAAAGCTCTAAAAAATTTTTTAGTTAACAAAGTAGGTTATGGGATGACAGATGCTTAATTAAAAAGCTTAAAAAATTAGTGAAATTTTCTTGCCTCCAAACACGTATCAGTAGATACACAAATTATAGTAGCAATTTTTTTCCCCTCTCATTTTAGAAGCTTAGAAAGTAATTTATTAGACTGGATTTAAAAAAAAAAAATTCAACTTCCAATAGCTCTGTAGATTATAGATTATATTTAGGCCGCATCCAAACATCTACAAAGGACTATCAATGTTGATTACTTTGGGATAATCAGAATAGATAAAATGGCATTCAATTAAGTGGCATTACTTTTGCTATGTTAACTGCTCTCTTCCTAATGCCTTCAATGTAGGGGAAGTTAATTCTGCAAACAAGCAAACAAACAAAAGCCCTGCCTGTGGAATGTGTGCTTGAAACTCAATATTAAATGTATTATAACATTACCTTAATAACATCAAGATTAAGAAGGTTCTTCCACCGTGATTCAGGGAGAAGTGAGAGAGTCACCAATTGTTCATTCAACTGTTCTGGTGAATCATACTCTATCATTTCATCACTTGGTTCTACATTTTCTTCTGTTATATCTATATCTTTAAAAAATACATATTTTTAAGGTAAAAGAAATTAATGTGAAATGAGAATTTTATCATAAAAACCAAATTTAATCATTCCAAATCCATTTATATTCTGTAACACGTTCAGTTAATATAGCCTTGTAAACTCTTTTCATTTATTTCCTTTGCTTATCCCCTTTCCTTATTTTCTCATATTAACTACAACTCACATCATAAGAACTAAAATGCTTTTAACTAGCATTTTATTTAGTATTGTATAGATACTATATGTATTATATTTCTGCATAAATTTTAGTCACTTACAATATTTCATATCACAGTTTAAAAACTTTGATTAAATGTATTGCGCTCTGCCTTCTATAGCAACAGCCCTTAAACTAGATTTAAAATAATATCAAAATTACTTTGCTATTTTGTGGTTACCTTGGGTTTGACAAGTCCCAGGAAGCATCACTACTGAAGGAACATAATCTGTAGGAAGTGGCCGTAATGAGACAACTGAATACAGGGAAATATTAGACCTGAGAAATCAAAACAGAAACAATATTTTAAAAGTTATGTTTCTTCACAGAAATGTCAATATCTGCTAATAATCTTTACATCTTGAATTGGGCCACAGACTACAATCACCAACTAGTTAAGAAAAGACCTTAAAGATTAAAAATGCATTCATTTAGGTCAAAGATGCCATCACAAAAAAATACTGTATAAGAAATTAACAGAATCTCTATTTTTAAAGTAGTACAAAAACACATTTAAAAGAGATCAGAAGTAGATAATACTTTCATAAGGTAAAATAACCTCCATAATATTATTTTAATAAATATCAACTTCATTTAAGGAAATTATAAAAGGAAAGATGGACTCAGAGACGGAATATGCTGACCAAATTCTCGGTGCTGCTGAAAAGTCATAGATTTCCCTTTTCTAGAGTGGTGCACTTAAGTGGCCATGTTTCTGCTACTTGACCTGGCAGGTAAGCCATAGATTTGTAACCAAGATATTGACATCTATCCCAAAGCAGGAACAGATTCTTCTACTCACATATTATGAATCTCAAATGAGAAGTAAAAAATTTAGATTCTCAGGTCCTGAATTAACATTAATTAATATCAGTTCTATATAAAGAAGTTCATTCTCCTATGGCAGGTATCATAGCTACTATTATCCTTTTATTTTAATGGTTGAAGCTTCATTGATTCTGGGAAATAATAATTTTGTTTCTTAAGATGGCCAAAATCTATTTCCATTACATATCAAATTTACCTTTTTATCTTAAAAATGTAATAACATCATGTAACTAGAATTTGAAAAGGAATCAATTTTTTCCTCTTCCCCAAGAATAAGAGTTAAAAGAATTAGATATATGAACTCAAGACAAAGATTACACTTTTCTAGACCCAGGGGATCTAGAATAATCACAGCCTAAAGTTCAATCTTAGAATTTGAAGATCACCATAAATCATCTTTACAAGGTTAGTAGAGTCTTCCTACTAGGATCAATGTTAGAAAGCATTATGCCTTATTTTATAGATAAAGTAAGTAATGTTCAGAAGGGATTAGTTAAAGTCATACAGCCATAGTGGGATACTAGAAAGAGGGTGAGGGCTTGGGTGGAAACTTTACTTTTCTAACCTTTTAAATTCCTTTTCTAACCTTTTAAATCCATTTACCCTTTCTGCAAAAAAAAAGCCAAATATGATCATATAATTTAGAATATGCACTTGAGGAAAGCTGTTAAAATTATCAAGCAAATGTTGAATCAGTCATAAAATTTATAGTGAGTTATCAGTGTATTGACATTTCCATGTATTAAAAAAAAAAAAACACAACTAAATGGCAACTTAATAACCATGATTCTGACAATATCACTATTATCCTTTTTCTTCTCCTACTCCTAAAACAGTACTGTATGAAAAAACTCACCATAAATAAATTCCAAGGTGGTCCACGTGGGAAGTAGCTAGAAAGTCTCCAGTAGGGGACATAGTAACATTGAGAGGAGCTGCGTCCAACAAAAAACAGTCTACAAGGCTGCAAGAAGAATTAAGATGTTAAAGTACTTAAGCTTTACTAAAAAAGATATAATGCACAAAAATTATTTTTGCTCAAAGAATAAGGAATGAGATTCAGAAAAAAAATTTAATTACCTACCACCAGAAAGTCATCACACATACAGTTCTGTTAACTAAGTTACTATGTGAAAATAATCTCTTAATGAGAAAGACTCAAAACTACTTATTATATTAATTAACTTTAGGGAGAATAGAGGAAAAAATGCTCTATTTTTCTAACACCAAATTTTGTTATATTGACTTAAGGGCAATTTTAAAGACATTACACATTGAAAATAAATCTATTATCAGTACACTCCTGTATCTTTTTTTTTTTTTTTTTAACTCCAGCGAACAATAAAAGGCTAAGGCAACAAAATGGCAGTAAATAATAAGAGAATAATGACAGAAAAACTTTTGAGCAATTCTACCTGTTTTCCAAATAGGTAGCAGTGCTACATATGAAAAAGTACGAACCTTCAGTCTTCAGAGATTAAACATAAAGCAGCTTATAGAAACTAGTCCTGCAGCTTTAAAGTGCTAAAGGGGTTTTAAAAGTTGAAAAGGAAAGGGGAGTGACCACACCCAGGTAGGAGACTCTTTTAGAAGAGGCTTCAGAGAGAACACAATGTTTGAGCTGAGCCTTACGAATGGCCAGGATTTCAAAGGATGCTGATGGTAGAAAAAGCATTTCCTCGCTGAGGGAAATGTGGAAGGCAACCAAAAAAAGTACTTGGGTATAGTGAGTAATACAGTTGGGTGGAAGCATACAGAATCTGGAACATCAAACATCTGAATTTGTTTTTATATTATAGCTGATAGGAAGTCACTGATATTTTTGAGCACACAATGGTACAATCTTCACTTTCATAAGAATATTTGCCATCAGAACACAGAACAGGAATATCAGTGAATTATGGTAGTAATCATTTAACAAAAAACATCTCAATAGAAGCAAAGAGAAAGACCTGCACTCATTCCCAACCTGCTAGGAAGACTCCTTAGGATGGTTATGACAGGAATACCTTTAGGAAGAGTATACTGGCTTTAAACACAGCTGTTTTAAAACCACTTTATTTACTAAACACAATACACTATCCACGGAAAGATAAAAATCAAATGACTAAAGTTCAGAATCTACATCAAAAAATACAAACTATAAGAACAACATAACTTTGTTTTTGATTTTTTTTGTTAGTGTTCTGGGCTAGGAAGTATTCTCAGCACTTGACTATACTGACTAATCCTTGCAGCCCCATAAGGCAGGTCCATCCTAAGAAAACTGAGGCCCAATAAGATTTCAAAAATTGACAGGATAAAAGAAAGAAATTAAGTCAGGATTTGCAACCAGTCTACATTCTCAACCACATTAACTTTAGTAAAGTAACTATAGAAAATTAGGGTACATCAAACAATGGGATAACATACATATACACAAACAAGGTATGTCTACACTGGTGATTCAGAAACACACTATGAAAGATTCAAATGTAAATAAAGGCTCTCCAGTAGAGACTTACATATGGTAAAATCTCTCAAGTTGCTGAAACTATTGTCATTTCTCAAGTATGGGGTACAGGGGAGAAATAATCTGTTTGATTTCTGCTCAAGGCCACTCTGAATGGCTTTTCTTGGGAATCAGGGAAGGTAGGGAAAGGAAATTTTTGCTAAACACTTGTATTACAAGCCAGAGACTGTTATTTATGTTAATTCTTTTAATCCAAACAACCCTGAGCACAAGATATTATCTCAATGTATGTAAATGAAAATTAAAATACAGCAGTTTCAGATCTTGTAATTTTTCCTTGTCTTTAACATTCTTGTTCAGCAAAAATTTAAGTATGTGAGGGGTGAAACTTCCTAACATGTTTAGAATCTATCTGTCTGCTAAGAAAAAAATTAATATTGAGCAAACATACTTTACTTGACACTATAATATTTTAGGGGAACAATTTCTTTGTGTAACTTCATTTTTATAGTTGTAGACTGCAGGTAGACTGATCTTCCATTATGTAAAATTCCCAACTGAGGTGGCAGCTTCTATATATGCACCATATTTTACACTGTCATTTTGTTCATAAAACCTAGGTGTGCAGGCTTTATCCCAGAGCTGAAACTACTGTATGGTCTCCTGAGAATCCCACAAAATGAAAAGTTGCAGGTATAATTATTTTCTGAAAAAACATTAATAACATTCCTATTCTGAGGAATCAGATTTTCAAGATCAGAGCCCTGCATATACAGATAACCTTAAGTAAGTTATTTCTGATTATTATTCTGGAAAAATTGATAGTGTCCACATAGTCTATCTCCAAAGTAATGGAATAACCTTCCACAGGAATCCTTAAGGAGCAGCAGAGAGAGGTAATTTTGCCTCAGTGACAATTGCAAAACAATGTTTTATTCCAATTTTTCTCATGCTTATACTCCTCAGAAAGTAAGGATGGGGGAGAAGAGAGAATAAATGCAAAATTTAATTATAAAAGTATTTAATTTTATGTATTTATCTTCCTCCAAAGAGTTCAACCTGAATTTCCAATAAATCAAAAACAAGCAGAAATAAAAAGTGGTGGCATGTAGGTAGGTAAATGACAATGTAACTTCAGGGGTTAAAAAATATTAAATTTTGTTTAAGACAATTTTAAAAACAAAAACAAATTTCAGTCCTTAAAATAATTTATGGTAAACCATTCAATAACTACGCAATTTTAGATCACAATTCCAGTTGTGTGTACGTCTATGTTACTACCTCCAAAAGTTTACTCGATAGTTTCGCTAGATGGACTGCTTCACCTTTTAGGTTAAATAACAAATATAATCATTCTGTAAATATTTAGCATGCTATACAACTGATGAAATTGCTTATTATAGAGCCAGGAAGGGGACTGGGATTATTACTCAGTGACAGAGCACTTGCCTTGCAAAATAAAGTTATTATGACCATGTATAACTAAAAAAATTTTTTTTAATATAGGAAAGACCAAAGAGAGGGGAATCAAAGACACTCAATAGTTACCTAGGGTTGTATGATAAAAATATTAATTCTTGCTTTTTTAATTATTTGTCTTCCACAGCAAGAAAATCAATGCATCCTTAGAACATGAAACCACTGAGCAACTGTTGGCTAAACTAATTCTCCTCTGCTTTTTTGCTCTACCATTTACAAACTAAATCGCTACTCATCAATCACTTAATTTCTCCCTGAACCTTCATTCTCCCACTTGTACAGAAGAAAACAGTATAACAATAATAATATCCGTGTTTATTAGAATATGAGAAAATAAAGGCATTTAATGTGCATAGCAGCACATGACAAATTTTAGTTTAGTTGCAGTTAAGCAGCATTAGTTGTTTGATATTGTTTGTCAACATGTTTCATTACTGCACTTCAAATTTTTACCAAAGAACTACTTATTATTCTTTAGTAAAAATGTACATATATGCAATAACAGTAGATTTTATTATATTTTCTTTGAACAACCCTATGTGGCTCATTTCTTGTTCTTGTGCTATACTCAGTTGTATTCATGCCTCTGTATTAATCTAAAATGGCTTGTGTTCACCTAAAAATGAGTTGTAAACCTATCAAGCTTAAATCTTTTTTAAAAAAATATTTATTTATTTTTGCATCACAATTCGTAATACACCATTATATCATAATTTATCATATCTCTGATTATATATAAGGTGTGTTGACAACAAATTCACATCTTCATACATGTATTTTGTATAGTGATGAAGGTCTCCTTTCACCATCCTCTTCTTCCTCCCTTTCCCTTCCACCCCTATTCCCTATCTAGAGGTAATTTTTCAAGCTTAAATCTTTTCAACTCCTTTCTGTAATAAAAATTCAGCAAAAAGGTTAATGCTGAGTCAAAGTTTGGAGGCTTTGAATGCTACTTTCAGATCCTAATTCTTTCATTCCAAAGATAAACTTGCCACTTAAAAAAATATTTTGCCAATTTAGTCTTACTGAACATTAACCTATTTCTCCCACCTAATGTGAACCAACATTATTAAAAAGGAAAATAGTAAGCACATTATGTCAACTCTATTATTTGTACAACTTTCTAACTTTAATTCAAATTATATAATGTTCATTTTAGAAAAAGGCCAAGAAGCATCATACTACCAATATTTCTATTAGTGTCTTCAAAAACAAGGTTTTTACAGCTAGGTGTGGTGGCACATACCTGTTATTTCAGTAAGTTGGGAGGCTAAGGCAGGAGGATGGCAAATTTAAAATCAGCCTCAGCAACTCAGTGACACTCTGTCTCAAAATAAAGAATCAAAAGGGTTGGGTATACAGCTCAGTGGTAGAAGTGGTAGAGGGCTTGACTAAAATATGAAAGTCCTGGATTCAATCCCAGGACCAATAAAAAGTAAGTTTTAAATTTAGGAAATACCTACTTTTGCTGAAGCAGAAATCAGATTATGCTTTACTCTATTTTAAGTAAAAGAGGTTCACACCTGTGGACAAAAGTCCCTAGTCATTAGAGTTTGACCCACTAGTGACACTTTAGCTGTGTTTATTCTAAATATAGTGTATATGCTGAATAGGTAGGTATGCTTCATGCCTACAAAAAAAACTTGAAGGGAAGTGAGAACATCAGGGTTTTTCCCTTTTAAAGGTCAAACTACTTTCACATATGAAGTTATCTAGTTCCTGAGAAAGTGCTGGATTCGTTTTAAGTTTCACTCCATGAAACAGATTTCTGATACTGCTATGCTTTGAGAAGATATAGCATAAAGACGAAAGCTAGGGATTTGACCTTTTAATTAAATTCAATATGAAAAAAATAAATAAAAAAACAAAAACACACCCAGAAAGTTTGCAGTCCTAAAGTCTGAGCTCTGTTTTGGGGTATTAAGAAGAATAAATGTGCTGTCTTAAGATTCATACAACTCATTTATTTCTACAGATCTACGTTGCAGAAGAACATTTTTGGAGAGATGTGTACTTTTTTCAATAATTTTTCATGATGCTTCAACTTCCTGCTGTTTTAAGATTCAAAATACTCCAAGAATAAAATATAGTTATGCTAGAAAAATACCTAAATACATTCATGTTAAAAGAACCCACATGATCCATTAACTACAGGTAATAGTCACATGTTAAGACAATGACCAAGGAATCATCTGAAGAATTTAAAAGCAAACTCACCAACCAGATGGAAGGTCCCAAGTCCTAACAGAGCAATCCATTGCAGCACTTATTAACCAACGACCATCAGGACTGAAAGCCTTGAAATAAAACAAACAAAAATAATATTTTATATACATATAAAAATATATATTTGTATGCATGGGTATATGAATATGTATTTAACTCCTTGAAAAATACAAGACTTGAAAAAATTCAGGTTTCATGAAAAAATAAATAAGTAAAATTCAGGCTGCCTTATTTTACATAAAAGAAAATATTACTTCTATATAAACTGATCTGAAATTTATAAGGATTAAGTTTTCAAATTAACTATAAAAAGTTTAAAAGATTAAGAGCATCAGCCCAATTATCATACCACAATCTTCTACTTGTTTATAGATAATTAACAAATTCTGAAGATAAATCATATTAAAAATGTTACTGGTAGAATATTCAATAAGAAGTATTTTGCTACTCTAATTTCAGTTACAAAGTACTTCTGAAAGCAACAAAAACTCTTATTTCCTTGAAGAGTCTATATATTAGGCTGTCTGGCTAAGAATCCATATCACCACAAATTAAAAGTAAAGAATAAAAATTCTCTTAAAATATTACTAAAGTCCTTCTGTTTTTATCTGCAGCTCTACTAAAAACTCATTTTTTCTCCCTTCATGATGCTTTATTTCTAAAATATAATTAAAAACTACAATTGGAAAGATTTTAAAAATAAATTTAAATAATGGACTATTTATGCCACCTTAAAGAAGTTATCTTTTCTAGCTATAAAAATAATAAATAATAACCATTCCCACCTGTAGTACGGAAGTTCTGAGTTTTAGATTAGATGTGAAGGACCCCAAAGGAAAAACAGTTTAACATTTATAATGGTAGTACATAATTCATCAAGGAGTCTAAACACAACAAAGGGATTATGATCATTCATATTAGCAAATGATACTGAAATAAGCTGAATGCTAATTTTGTTCATCAGACTGCAGCAATATCATGGAAACTCAAACCTCAGGGTATAAATAGCTCAATTTATAGAGAGATGGTGCAGATAGAAGATCATAGTAAAAAATAACTCTCAGAAGGTCATATTATAAATGCTCACAAATTTACATGATCAGGAATAACTTATTACTGAGAAGGAGAAATTCTAGACACATTAGGATAAAGTAAAATTTAAGAAATAGGAAGAACAAGTTAATACTGACAGATGTTTTAAAAAATGTCATTTCATCATAATTACACCACTTCCACCCTTGTTTCTACAGATGCTGTCAAAACAAATTCTGTTGATGAGTAATTTTGCCAATCTCCTAGTTGCAGAACATATTTTTTTCTTAACCAATTTCTTTCTTTTAATATTAAGGAAAGGAGTAAGCATTGTAATTCTGATTTTTGATGTTAGACTCATAAGTAAATGAAGCTGATGGGTTTGTCACTCAGTAGTTAGGATTTTATTTTAATTTTTTCTCTTTTCAAGTAAATTACTCCATTTGCAACTGATTCCAAATAACAACATATACTTAACATAGTCCTCAATGACAAATTTATTTTAAGGTTTATCTTTTAATTGAAACATGCTTTTAAAAGTAGTTTAGTTCTTACAATATCAAACATCCCACTAAAGAATATAATGGCAAACTTAACTACATTTTTATTAATTAGACTCTTCATATAAACTCTAGAAATTATAATAAACTACAATATTATAATAATATATATAATAATATATATATATAATAATAATATATAAAACATAATAATAAACTACAATATAACAAGGCTACTATTAACTTATTGTGTACAAAGAAAAACAGAAATGTCTTCTCTAAGCCTTTTATATTAAGTCAAACATGATACGTATAAATGGAGCATTCATTTTCCAAAATAAAATGTCTTACACAGATTTAAAGAGAAAAGGATAAATTACTCTGAAAGCATCAATTTCCTGAAAAATTTTAATTCTTTCAATTGTAAGTTTTCCTTTAAAATCTCCTTGAAAACTCACCAGCAAATTATCTATTTATAAAATCTCTTAATATGATAAGCTTAAGGCTATTAAAAGATATCAGATTTAATTTTGTGAACATTTTTAACCTGGAGTTAAAAAAAAAAAAAAGAAAGAAAGAAAAAGTTGTTTAAACAGCTAAGGTTTGTTTTACCATGTCATTTATTTGGCCTTGGTGTCCAGAAAACTCTCTCATAATCTTCCTAGTTTCTATGTCCAGAACACTAATGGAGAAGTCATCCAAGGCAAGTCCCAGAATGCCACTAGCAAGATAAATGCACCAGTTAAGCAAACAAAACTCTGGAATCTTGTATTAGTCAAATATGCCTTTGATTAAATTAAACCATATGTTGTTCTTTATTAAAACAGTCTGATTTTCCCCATATGACAAATCTGTACTTATGAACTTTACCAAAAACATTAAAAAGCAAGTCCATTATCATTAAAAGGAAATGTTTACCTGTCCCTATGTAGCAGCATCATATTTGGAGATGAATCAAGGCTCATAGAATGGATTAAGTTTTTGTTTTTAAAGTTCCAAAATTTGAGTAATCCTTCACTACCAGCTGTAACTGTCAACTGATTTAATCCATCCACTGCAACACCTCTAATAGATCCCTTATGAGCTTTTAAGTAGACAAGAAAAAAAGAAATCAGAATTGGTAGTGTCTACTGGAACAATACAAATAATTCTTTCCAAATATCTAGATTTCCACTACTTATATTCTTGAAAAATCTTGAAATTAATCTGCCAAATGAAGTTGGGATAACTCATCAAAAAATTACTTAAAAGAAAAAAAAAAAAGAAAGAAAGAAAGACATTTCAATACCTTGATCCTTGCCAAAACTTCCCCGATGTATCCCGGACTGCATATTATACACATCTACACTTCCTGATGAAAGACCAATCACGGCAAAGTTTCCACAAGAAGTAATATCTACTGCCTTTACAGGGGAAAAAAAACAAAAGCAAATAACAAAGAAAATAATATTTTAGGGCTGGGGTTGTGGCTCAGAGGTAGAGTGCTCGCCTCGCACGTGAGAGGCCGTGGGTTCGATCCTCAGTACCACATAAATAAATAAAATAGAGATATTGTGTTCAATTACAACTAAAAAATATTAAAAAAAAAAAAGAAAATAATATTGTATTGTGCTTCATTGCTTCCAAAGTCAAATCTACCAATAATTTTATTAAAAAAAAAAAAAACATGAAAAGTGAATTGATTTATTACTTTTCTTACACATAAAAGTGACAAATGCCACTATGCAAGTGAAGACATATTTCTATAGCATGACATAAAATGTTTCGTGCACATAAATTTTTCTAAACATTTAAAGCCTACTACTTAAATTAAAATAAAGTTCCCTTTAGCTACTCCACTGATTTCCTTTGAATGAAGAAGTATAGCAGGAAAAGTGAGGAATTCCTTTGAGTGAAGGAGTATGGCAGGAAAAGTGAGGAACTATGGAGTGAAATTAACCAAATAATGCTATGTACATATATGAATATTTCACAGTGAATTCCATATTCCTGTAAATCTATAAAGCACCAATTAAAAAGAAAACAATAAATAAATAGAAGGAAGATCAGTAAAGTAGAAGAAAGGGAATAAGAGAAGGGAGGGGGAGAAAGGAGGAGAGAGTGATAGGAGAAGTATTGAGGACTGGAGCAAATTACAATTCATGCATGTATGATCGTGTCAATATGAACCCCACTATTAAATATAACTATAATGCACTAATAAAACAAATTAAAACAAAAACAAAAAATACACTCAAAAAACAAAGTATTTTAGAAAAACTGTGAAGGTTACCCTTGAGTAATAAATTACACTTTATTGCATGGGTTCTATAATAATTACTTCTGTTTATTACTTAATGATTTCTGGCTTTGTTCCAAGTAGCTGAGGATGTTAGACAAATGACTCAGCACTGGTTAAGCATCATTGTACACATGCATATTAAGTGCTCAATGAGTGATCACAGTAGGTTGTAAGTTAAGATCACAGTTTCTAGAATAAGTTGTCTTAGGTTCAAATCCCTGCTGTGTCACTTCTAGCTTTACTGATCTTAGGCATGTTACTCATTACATTAAGGGTTAGTCTTATGTTCTATAAAAAGAGGCTAACAATAGACCATAACATAGGATTATGTAAACATAATGTGAGTACACACTAGGCAGAGAGACTAAAGTAAACGTTAGCTGTAATTATCCTTTCTACTACTACTACAAACACTACTCAGAACTCTGTAGGTAAGTTTCCTAAAGAAGCTTAAGATAAATCTCTATGATTTAGAAAATTACATAAAAGCTTAAGACTAGCTTTTCACACTGTGGGATTAGAACATATGTACTTATAATAATGTGTACATAATTGAGTCAAATGTTGAGTTAAACGTTTAGTCAGCATTTTCAAAAGCAGAAGTATCTATTAAGAAATCATTAGAACAGGTAAACAAGTTTAGCAATCTGCAAGATACAAGATCAATAGGCAAAAGTCAATTATATCTTTTGATACACTAGCAATAAAAAACCTAAAATAAACTTAAGAAAACAATTTTACTTGGCATTGAGAAGAAGTGGGACATACACTGACAAGTACAAACATTATTGACAGAAATTGTTAGGAAACCAGAAATGGTAACTCTCAAATTTATGTATTGATTAAAAAAATCCCAACTGTTTTTTTTTTTTTTTTTTTTGCTGATATTGACATGCTAATTTGGGGACCAAAATATCCAACAATTTTGAAAAGGAAAAGAACAAACTTGGAGGAGGCATACTATCTGATTTCAAAATTACAAAGTTAACATAATCAAGACAGACAAAGCACAGTTACAAAGATATATTTAGAGATGACCCATGACTACGTGAAAAGATGCAACACTATACCTCCTCAGAAGAATGCAAATCAAAACCACAGAGATACTACTTCACAATCAACCTCAAGTAGCTAAATAAATTTCTGCAAGCTGAAAAACTTTACAATATTAGAGAACAACTTCAAAATGGTAAAACATGTTCTTTCCAATAATATCATTAGTAAACTTGAGTATAATAAAATTACCACATAAGTTTTAAAGGAGAAAAGATTTTAATAAAAGAGCTCACTTACTGTTGCAGTGATGTCATCTTTCTTCAATTCTTTTGGCTTGAGAAAGTAAGCACCTATTGTAGACCTTTGATAATTCCAGGTTGAGCAAGATAGCTTACCTTGATGGCAAGCAATGATACCATCCCAGTCACTCTCTCGAGCTTCCTCTAAACATAATTAAAATCATAAATCAAAGTGCTTTTTATCATCTCACTCATTTGCTCATCTATTATTAATTAAGTATCTAATATTCTACCTTAATAACTGGTACTAGGAATATGATGGTAAAATAAACAGGCTATCTCTGGAAAGAGCTTCCTATCTAACAGGTTAACTGATAAAACTGTACATACTTATGGTGTTCAATGTGTTTTGACACCTTATAACATTGTTGAATGGCTAAATCAAATTAACTGACAATATCTAATAACAGATTTTGATTAGAAGAAAGAATGAGAAAGCATAATTGCATGACTATTTTATATGAGCACTCAGGAAGAGTTTTACTGGGAGATTTTGGGAGAGTAATAACTGGCTTCCTGGAAGGAGCAATAAACAAATAAAACTTCTAGTACAGAGGTGGGCAGAGCCCTATAGACAAAAGGCCCAAGATTAGTTGAACAAAACCAAGGATGGCAAGTAAGTGACATGTGTTCCTGGGAGAGGCAAGAGGACAAGGAAACTGGGGCCACATTACAAGGATATTGAAAGTTAAAGAGGCAAAAGTCTACCTAAAGGTAATAAGGGGCATGAAAAGATTTTAAGAACATGACATGAGTCAGCTATATGTTTTAGAAGCATCACTTAGGCTCAAGGCAAATAGAGGGGTGATCAAAAAACCAAAGTAGTGATTAGGTTGTTATAATAACCTTGAAACAATAACCATAATATAGAAATGGTGCCTATGTAGTTATTTCCTGATAGTTTTCATTCAATCATCCTATTATATATGTATACTTTTCTTAAACGCTCTTCTTCTGAAGAAGTTCTGCTCTATGATATGGTATACTACTATTGTACTTAGATCTTGATTGGTCATGGCCACATCTTTTCACATTTGTTCTCTGTTATAAATTTCTACATTAGTGACTTTCATTATACCAGATGATAGGATAAAAAGAAGGGCTATAAAATATTATTTATTAATAGCTGGTATAGAGAACAAAGCCTGAGATTTAAAAAATAAATTCATGTTAAAATTAACTCATTTTCAATCTTCACACAAGATTAGTACATGCTTAAGGTTACCCTCTGAACATTTATTAGAATTTGCAAACATATATTTTTTTTAAATGGAGGAAATAATGAAGTACAAAACAAGAGAAGTTACTTACCAGCTGCAAACTTTGTGATAGGTGGAAGTCTTACTGACATGGTATTCTGAAGTCCTTTCCGCTTGAGTCTCTTTTTATTAATTAATCCTGGAGTTGGGGAAGAGGGAATCATAGTTATGAATCTTTCTTCATGGGGGAAAAAAAATGCTCTTCACTGTCACATAACTATAAAGTTCAAGATGTTCTCATTTAAGTCAGGAGCACAACAAGGGTACTGTTATCAATATTATTTGTTTCTGAAGTTTGTATAATTAAGATACAAAAGCAAATTATAAGGTATAAATAACTGAAAAAATGAGGTAATCATATTATTTGCCAATAATATGATAGAACCAACACAAAAAAGAAAACTTGAGGATATATCACATTCCTGGATGAGAAGATTCTTAAAGATATCAAATCTCTCCAATTTAATTCCAAAAGGAACTATTTTAGATTATCAATTAAAAAAGGATCCTATAAGTTACCTGGAAGTACATACTTTTATGAATAGCTAGAACATTTACTTAAAAAAGTAAACATTAATGAAACTAAAAAACATTTTTGTTTAAGAAACCTCTCAAAAGCTGGAAACCAGGAAGAGAATAAAGGCGCCCTTTAAAGCAAAAAGATGAGATGCTATTTATTTTGATGCTTTCTTTAAAATTGTTCCCATAATTTAAATTCTGCACTCTACAGATGGATCACATTAGGCTGTGTTTTTTGGGTGGCAAGAGTATGTTTTATCACCCAAGATGCCTAACATTTTTTAACAGATTTATAGTAAGCAGTACCCCAAACACTTCTACAGTGATTTTGATCTTAGGATCTTACTAGTTTCTCCTCCATAAGGTTTTAATTTTATCCAAAAATGAGGAAATATATTGATGAAACCTCCTCCAGTTCTCCCAGAATCTTGCAAAGTTTCTTTTGTGACTAGCAACTTATATTCTATATTGCAAATGACCTACCAAGTCCCAAACTCTTATTGAATTTTTCATGTACCGTAGAAAATGACTGAAGAGTTCCATCTTGACCTATTGATATAAAAAGAAAATTCCTCATCAAGCTCCATCAAAACAATGGGCCATTTGAATCACAGATGTTATAAAATTAGATTCTACAAAAAGCTTAGTGTTATGGTTTGGGACATTTTAAAGAGAAATTACAATCTAAAAATGCGTCCAGCTCTCAATACCTACTTAAGTACTATGGGTAGAAAATAGAAACTCACTTGCACTTAGAATTTGTTGTCCATTTTGTCCATAGTATCTGATCCTGGTAAGAGGAGCGCTATGGCCCATTCTGAATCTCAAAAGTCGGCCTTCACCTGTGGGGCCATCAAATATCCATATCTGCCAAGAAATTAAATGGTAAGGTTCTTACACCATGTGCTCTCTGATCTGCAGTCAGGCAGGCTACTGACCCTGAAGTGGGGATTGGGAAAGAAATAAGCTGTAACTCTTTCCCACTTCATTGCAATGTCATCTGCTATACTTTTTATTTATCTATAACAATGATTCATCCCATATTCCTTTCATCTTCTAATTTTGGTACTAATACATTAAAAAGCAAGCTTGTAATAACCCAAAAGGTAGGCCAGATGAACCAGAAAAATGACAAAAATAATCATAATACCCTGAGAGCATTGTCAGCACCATTTGTGACAAGAAGAGGTTCTCTATGGAGAAATGTCAGTCCAGCAATTGCTGTAGAGTGTGCATTTCTCATTTGATTGATTAATTTTTTGTCTTCTAGGTCCCAAAGTCCAATATGGCCACATGGGCTTCCAGCTGCCATTATTGGATGACCATCTGTTATTAAAATAAAATATATGTTAAAAAACACAAGCCCGAAAACAAGTAAACTTGACAAATTTCTCTCCCTTTTAGTTTATAAAGTTAAAACTATACACCAATAGTCTTCCCATATTTTTTGCTTGTTCTACTTCGGTGTTTCATTAATACTTATTAAACTATAAAAAAACAATTTCTGTGATTTTAAAGTAAAGCATTTCAGGTGTTCTTAACTCTCATGAATAAATATGGTAAAGATTACCTGTGCGAAATGAAATTGAAGTTATGGGTCCCCAGTCTTGACGAAACTTCATTAATGTTTCATCAAACTTAATGTTGTGAATGATAACCTGACCTGACATAAGACCAACAGCAACAACATCCACAGCTGGTGCCTGAAAATTAAATTACTCGTAAGTTTTTATTTTCTTAAGCAACACAGCCTTACAATTTTTATGATCAACACTATTATTTATGTGTTATTATGAGAGAATATGAAATATCTTCTTAAAGGTGTGTAGGGGGAAATCCACAAGTATTACCATTCTGGCTATTATTAACTAATGCTAAGAGTTAATATTAACTGCTATTCAAATGGAAGTATTTAGGAACGATTTTTCCAAATTACTTCCCAGTTTAAATTTTGCCAGTCAATTTCCCTCTCAACTGTTAGAACAAAACAGTCTTGTTAATACAAAGTCACACAGAAAGAAAAATTTACATATGCAATCACAACAAATCACTGACTAGGTGAAAGAGAAAAAAGAGACAACTCCTAGAAAATATATGAAGGCTTGTCATAAGTATGGCAACATATGTAGCTGGAAAGGAAGTAACAGCCATAACATTCTATGACTATAATTCTGTCTTATAATGGATAGGCGTGGCAGAGCATGGTTGATGACAGTGAGAGGGGATGAGGGAGTGCAAATAAAATGGGCAATGAATATTAGAAAGATCAGGAATAATGGCTACATGTGTAACCAACAGACTCACCAGATTTTCTATAGACATACATTCATTCATATACGTATGTTTTACTGACTCATAAAAATGAAAAGCAATTTTCTAAGTCTACCAATGAAAAAATCCTTAGGATTTTTGTCCCCAACTATTTCAAATAGGAAATCTCAACATCCTAATAAATTTCTCTGTAAAACCAATAGTCTCCTTTGCATCAATGAACAACTAATTTCTGTTCTCTATAAAGCTCTATACTACCTGCTTGCAAAATAATCAGTAAACAAGGTTCTACAATAACCACAGGTTTAGAGCCTAATTCTAAACGGCAAACGTGTTACTACTTGTTGACAGTGTATTTCCAAAACATTATTTCCTTAGTGGAACAGTTAAAACTATATTATTTTGTCTTAAGGTCTAAAAACAGGCTGATCCCTGAAACTACATGAATCTACTATTTGGTTTAACCAAAAATTACTAACCTGCTGAAGAGCAGTCACTCCAACCTTCCATCCTGGAAATGTATACAGAAGCTTACTACAAAAAAAAAAAAAAAAAAAGAGTTGAAAGGTGAAAGGTAGGTTGTTTTTTTTTTTTTTTTTTTTTTGCGGGTGGGAGAGAAAAACAAAATCGACTATATATTTAAAAGTAAACTAGTAACAGTAGTATTTATTAAATTCTTCATCCCACATTATTCTGAGAATATATTACCATGTCCAATACTCAAAATAATCACATGAAGTAAATATTATCACCTTTTATCCAGAAAAAGAAACTTAAAAAAAAGAAAAGTGCTAAATAATTAAGCCAAGTAAAAAAAAAAAGAGTGTGTGTGTGCAGGTTCTAGACTCCCAATCTGCAAATTGCTATGCAAGGCCACCTCATTAAAAATTTAAATGTTTGAGTAGAAGAAAAAATACAATCCATTTTATCTAGACAATAAAAGTCTTGGAATATAGGCAGATCTCATTTTTTTTTTTTTTACTGCAATGTATTTCTAGAAATATCATCACTAAAGGGAATAATTAGATTTTAACTAAAATAGTACTTGAATGTTATATGAACTGTCTTATGGAAACAGTTATGCTGCTCTCATATTGTGAATCAGACCATGAATGATTAAGTCAGTCTATGGAGCAGAGCTATCTGAAATCATTTTAATACTAGTCATTAAAATATTAAATCATATATTAAATTCTGCAAATGGGCAAAATTAGTCTCTGCAATAATTACATAATGGATAAAATACACAAAGAATGTAAACATCACAAAGAGCCTAAGGAAAGAATCTTAAGAGCAGAGACAGCATCTCAGTCAACATCCCTGAGCATAACACAGAGTCGGCAGTCAGTGGTATCTGCCACTGAACTGAAATATTGATTCAAAACTAAACAGTCTTCCCTTTCAAATTTACAAGGGCTTTGGAAAGAATAATTTAGGTGGTTAAATATTTTTGTTTGCTTGTTTTAACATTATACAAAACTTGAGTTAGCCCTTTCTCTCTAGATAAATGTTCAAGTAACAAGAAGAGGTATTTAAAATCATTAATGTAGCCTCCCAGTTATATTAATAACATTATAATAGATATTCATTACACTGGTGGTTGTTGATCAAAGTACTTTTATTTTCCTTGAAATCATTTCTAAATGGTAGCACTAAATTAACACGAATTTGTTTTACCATCTCTTTCCTTCATTTATAAAAATCTAGAAGCTATCTAATGCTAACCTCATAATATTACTTTATAAAGCTGTCTGGATAGCTATATGGATTCTTTCTATTGACTAGTTACTGAGTCAATAGTTTAGACTATTCAATGTGGATTTATGAAGTTGCTTATTTTGTGCCAGGACCACATGCCACTTTTTAAATATGTGATGGCATTAAGTGATAACTTCTCACAGCCATATTTATTGACAGCCCTCCAAATAAACATATAAGGGCAGAGAGAACTGAGAGATGCAGAATGCTTTAGGAAGCTGGGCATGGTGGTACACACCTATAATATCAGCAACTCAGGAAGCTGAGGCAGAAGAATCCCAAGTTTAAAGCCAGCTTCCTCAACTTAGACCCTGCCTCAAAATAAAAAGTAAAAAGGGCTAGGTGTGACTCAAAGGTAAAGCACCCCTGGGTTAAATCCCCAGAACCAATAAATAAATAAATAGGAAGAAGAAAGTAGTAGATGCGGATAAGATGAGAAGTACATTATTTATTTAAGTAAAGTGCTTACTTGGATTTTACATTCCACAACTGCAGACTTCCTTGTTCACTGCCCAGAAGTATTTTGTTCAAGTAGGTACTTGGATGCAAAATCGCAGAAATTTTAAAAACTGATTTATCGAAAGTCAATTGTAGGTATTCTTCTACAAAAAGTAAAAGTTACAAATAACATATAATTATTTTTTATAAAATAGCTTGACACTTGTTTCATATACCCATATATTTACCATTTAAAGTAAGTTTACCACAGAGACTTATATGCTAATATAAATCAAAGACATATAAACTAACCTATAAATAACCCCCAAGAACCAAGATAAATGTGATAGGGGCAACTTGTAAATGTCATTTAGGCTGTCAATATTATCTACAAGTTCTAACATAAATACTATTAGAAGTTTCACTACTTAAATTGGTTTACAGAAAAGAAAACAGGATTAAAAACTGATCATAGGGATCAACACTAATATTTTTATAATCTGATCAAGAGGCAGAAGTGAATGCTCCAAGTGAAGAGCCAAATATCTGGGAAGTTCAACGAGCCACTTAGAAGATGTGAAAAGAGGTGAAGTTTAGTGAAACCAAAAACAATGCTTCTCACACATTTCCTCAGAAGACTCTAACCCAGGAGATGAAAAGAACTTAAAACTCTGGGAACTTAAAACCCCAAGTCAATGTGTTGTTCTAACAGCAACAAAAAATCTAAGCATTAGCATCAAAAGAGTGCCTGAGACTTTATGAGCTAGATCTTACAACTTTATAAAGCTTTTTAACATCCACCCTTGAAGGTAGCCCAGCAGGTAGTTACTTGCTGCAAGATTAGAAACTTCTTTAAAATCTTACATTTATTATAATTAAAATTATGGTTTAAATTGTGTTTTTCATTTCAAAATTTGTTCAGTACTGAAACAATTTTTTTTCACTAAGTTTACCAATAAATTTGAATATTGAAGAAGGTGTACTACATACTCCCAGAAGTATGTATACCCCAAGTTAGAATGCACAGATATAGGTGAAAAGTACACAAACTTTACTTTGAATACTATTTTAAAAGATCCTTGTCTCACTACAAATAGCTCCCTGAAAACTCCAGGCCAATGTATTGTTCTAAAAGCAACAAAAAATCTAGGCATCAACATCAAGGGTGCCTGAGACTTTACGAGCCAGATCTTATAATTTTATAAAGCTTTTTAAAATCTAACCTTGAAGGGACCACTTTTAGAATTCTTTTACCCCAACTTGAGCAAAGATAAAACAAAGAAAAGCATTAGCAATTTGTATGAGAATACAGAATAACTCCCAGAAGGCAACCTCTAAAATGTTGACTAAAAATAAGAATACTGCATTAAACAATAGAAAATCAAGACATATAGAAGTTAAAAATGTAAACAGAGTAAAGAAGTTAAAAAAAGATGTATATTTTCCTTCTTATTTACAGATTCTTCAAGTTTACTATTAGCATCTCCTTTTGAAAGATGAAAATACTACATATGAACATACATCAAAATCCATTCTACAGAGAAAACAAGTCACTAATTTTAAAGAACGGCAATGGAAAACATATTAGTTGAAATTAGCACATTAAACAAGTTGTAAGTAGTTAACCAACTGACAAAAACTGCTTATTTACTTCTTATTTAGAATGTTTTCTCTTATACATATTAATTTTTTTATTTTGTTTATTTTGACTGTTTTGCATGTGAAACCTCTGATGTAGAAGTTATGTTCACATAGATTTTTAAGTATACACATACAATCCCAAGACAAAACAAATAAATTAGTTAATTCTTACCTTCTGAATATATATGCCAAATAATAAGAACGCTGTCAGCATCAACAGAGATAATGTGATCCCCAAAAGGTTGCAAAAGATGGATTTCTGCCTTATGACCCTTAAAGGTATGTACTATCTATAAAGTTTAAAATAATTTCATATTAGTAGTCATTCATCAAGTAATATTATCCAAAAAAGGCTTTCTAATCCTAAAAACATTCATGTTAAGAATGTAGTCCAATTTTTTAGTATACAAGGTTATATGAACAAATATTAAGGAGTTAGACACGTTCATCTGCTTAGCCAGTTCAATAAGGAAATAAAGCATGGACTAAGAACATAGAAATGAGAACTCTAGGGCTTAGCCTCCCTACTGAGTTTAGGAAAAAGGTATGCATATATACCTAGATCCCTTGCTAATTCGACCATTGTAATTCCCTTTATACTAAAAAAAATGGTATGTTCTAGAAGGCTGACCTCTAAGATTCCATCACCAACTGCCTTCCAGATAAGATGAGAAAGGGGAATATAAAGTACTTCTTTGCTATACCTTCCTGCTTTGACACAGAGGCACTGACTCTCACAGTAACTTATCCCTCCATCACTACATCTCCTTCTCCATGGTTTCAGCTCTCACCAGGTTTCGATAACACTACCTCTTCTGCCCTTTGGCCCAAGGATTGGTAACAGCTTCCCCAAGTTTATAGCCTTTGATGCATTCCTCCCCCTATGTTGTTCCCCCAACCCAGCCCACACCTGTAAGCAGAGTTCCTTCATTAAAGTGTCTCCATATGGACCACATACATATGTGTATTTATAAATACACATATATAGGTGAAATCAAATTTTCTCTTCCTCTATAAAACTGAGCATACATTAGAAAGAAAAAAAAAATGGTACAAATTGAAATAGTTCAGTGATACAAACCTCTTTATTACGGGCAAATGCAGAAAAAATATTCCCATAAGCAGCGAAAACTAGCCTCCCATCAGCTGCCATACAGCAGATATCCTGTGGAACAGAGTTACCTAGAACATAAAAGAAATACAATTTTAAGATCTTGTAATAGAAACCATCAATATACATATAATATTTTTCATGGATATAATAATTAAAAATATATTTAATAAAAAAGAAAGCTGAGGGCTGAGGTTGTGGCTCAGTAGTAGAGTGCTCGCGTAGCACGTGCCAGATCCTGGGTTCGATCCTCAGCACCACATAAAAATAAATAAATAAAGGTATTTAAAAAAAGAAAGAAAGAAAGCTGAGAATCAGTATAAAATTTTAATCTCAATATTGACTGTCGTAAACATTAAGATTTGCAAACATAACAACATAATGCTAAATAAATAGATAAAAAGAAGCTTTGTGAAGTATTTAGAAAAAAGCATCATTTAATACATGAAACTGACAGATGGGTATCTGGCCCACTTATGAACACCTTCAAGAACATGGAGTTTATTAGTAACTTCAGGAAAAATATAAAACTAAATTAAAACTTAGATCCACATCTAACTCAACCCTTTGGACCAACCCCAAGGAACTCCATATATACTTTTTATGTTGAGCCTTAAAATAATTAAAGACAATACAGTTTCTACTCGGTTGTCTCCAAGGTAAATATGCTTATTACCTCTAGCCATTTCTTATAGGAGGTGATTTCTTGATTCATCTCTCACTAATAAAATCATGGTGCCCCTTTTTCTTTCTCTTTTGGGGTCAGGGAGATGAGTAGACAGAAGATGATCGATTGTAAGTATTTTTTATGTGCATACTCCACTTGGGGATTTAGTTTCCATAATACTATTTCTATAGGTTTATCATTCACTTTTGTATTCAATTTAGGTTATTCTGTCTTCTAATCTTTTAAAAATTGTTTTTCAGACATACACAATGGATTTCTCTTACAAGGATCACATTTTAAGGTAAAACGAGTACCTGTTAGCTCTGGCAGGCCTTTTATGCTATTGAACAGTTCTTAGAAAAATAAATACCTCCCCCATTGAAAAAAAATATCCAAATATGAGACATTTCCTTACAGTAGAAGGAATGATGGAAAAACAAAACCACTATTTAATAACCATCATATCACTAACTGAGATTCAGGCAAGTCTCATCACTAAATGCTAACTAAATGCAGCAGGTGAAACTTTGAAGAGCAATAGCATATTTACAGAGTCTGAATGCATCATATTACAAGATACTTATTAACTACAAAGGACAAACTAGTAACTTTAAAACACAGCATCCTGACAGATATCACCTTAACTAAACAATCAAAGTTATCACTGCCAAGAATAGCATGTGCCTACTGATAAAATTCACTGAGAATTCAGCATCATTTCTTTGTTACTCCTGTCAAAATACTGAATCTAACTATAAAGAAGTATCAGAAAAACTCAAACTGAAGGTTATTCTAAAAAAGAATTAATCACAATGTGGTCAAATACAAAGAAATGCTGAAGAACTACTCCAAATAAATAAATAAATCATGTGACAACTGAAAGCAAAACATGATAGTGATGATAGTGTCACAGTTTTTTTTTTTTTTTGCCCCCTATAGAGGTTTATTAGACACACACACTGGATTCTTTATATATTCCATAAGCCTTAAACTTATGTCAAAAAAATTTTAAAGATACTAAGCCAGCATAAATCCAGAATAAAATTCACACTTACTTACTGCAACCAGACTAAGTTTCTGAACCTGTTAAAAAAAAAAAAAAAGATTAAGTTTTCATAAGAAAAACAATTTTATAATAACTTAACACCTTAAGATTAAGGTACAACCTCATAGGTAAATCTGCTATGCTGTCCCTCCTAGAAAAGATACTCACTGACCCTAAATTTCATTATTAGGAAAGTTACATTTTCAACTATTTCACCAACAGTGGTGATGGAAGTAGGCAAAGGGTTTCTGTAGTGAGCCAAAGAGTAAATGTTTTAGGATTAGCAAGTCATAAAGTCTGTGTTATACTGACCCAATTCTTATACTGCTGCAGGAAAGCGGACATAATAAATATACATGGGTATATTTCAATAAACTTTTATCTGTAGGTACTTTTATTTGGTTCTCACATCCTGAAATAATGTGATTTTTTCCCTCTAATCTTTAGAAAAATAACAAAACCACTCATAACTCATGGGTCATGCAGAAACAAATAGTGGACTGAATTGGCTTACAGACCAATTTGCTGACCTGAGGAAAGTTACTCATCTTCCCTGTGCCTCAAATTCCTTATATGGATTCCAAATATGGATTAAGATATGTACCTACTTTATGGGATTATGAAAATTCAATGGGATTGCAAATAAATTATGTAAAACAGAATACAGCAGTCATGTAGTAAATGCTCAATGTTAGCTGGTATCACCAACATCAACAGCTATTTATACCTTGTCTATTGTCCAGGTACAAATGCTTATATGTAGGATGACTCACAGTGGGCAGTAATACAGCAATGGCCATAGGAGAGAGCCCTTGAGGAACAAGTTAATGACTTGGGATCATTAGTACCATCTGGTTTACCCCAAGTTATTTTTAGTTTCAGAGATCATAGCCCAGTAAATTGGTTGGTGTAACAAACACAGAGTCCTCAGGTAATAAGCATTTTATGCCATTTTACAGAAATTTTAAAAAATGTATCATCCCCACCCACCTCCAAAGAAAGCATCACAAGATCTAAAGGACATCTTAAAACACATTTTTATGACTAAATTTCAATGTGCAAATAATAGTAAATTTTTTATAAAATGTTAAAGATGTTACTCTCCTAACAATAGGATTTCTTTGGAAGGGGAGGGGGATGTGTTTGTGCTTAACAAAATGTCAGGAAAGACACTGTACCAAACATAAGATTTCAAGAGGAGATACAGAATTTTGAGACTTTTAAGTCTTTCTGGGTACAGTGATGTGGAAATATGGATGTTTCCATTAAAGGAATGTTGGCAAGCTACAAATATAAATTTGACATAACCATTTACACAATAAAGGCAGTAAATTATCCATTTATTTACTAGAGGATTTATTTAAATAAAAATGTGCTCATTAAATATTTACTCTAAAGGTGGAAAAAAGTTTTCTTTAAATGAGAAAATTAGAAAAGTTATGTTTTAGGGAGGAAAACTTTATCAAAACCAAAAATTGGCAAGTAAGAAAGAAGTGGGAAGAATGGTATCAATAAATACTCCCACATGATTTATGTCACTCTGACCCAACTTTCTCCATCACCATCCCAGGCTTCCAGAAACCCAACTCTCTTCACCTCACCCCATCCTTCTTTTCTTTTTACATTTACTCAACTAGCTCCCAATTCCCACTCTTCTTGTTAATAACCTCTTTAATTTTCACAATTCTTCAAGGAAAACAACTCTACACCATGCTTTCCAGAAACAGTGCTTAATAACCTTGACTATTACCATCTTCATCATATTCCTGCTTTCCACACAACTTACATTATTTTTCAATTAGTGGTAAATTTGGGGAGGGGGGGAATCCATCATTAATAAGCAGCATGAGTGTCATGGCAAGTAACTTTAGTTTCCTAATACTTACTTTCCTAAGTTATATAAGGGTGCTACAAAATTAGTAAAAACTACCTTGCAAAGAAATTGCTGCAAAGCTTAGAGTGAAACGGCGCCAGATATTCAAGGTTGGTTGAAAACAGATGCTCAGGGGAAGTTCGGGGAAACTGGATTGCCATCGAATGTGAAGAGTCCCTTAAATCATCAACTCACCCTTCCAGTCCTCCTAATGTATTTCAGTCTGGATTTCTAACCCAGTTTGTGTCTTCAGTTACACAATAAGTGTCTTGCGAGTCGTCTAAGGGCTTATCTTATTCATGTTCGCATCCTCTGGGAGGATCAATAATTATCTACTAAACAAATATGATACTGTAACACTGAGACATTCTCAAGTATTCATTCCTTAGCCAGGTTCCCTCCGAAACTCGCCCCCAGGTGAACTGCAAGAGCTAAAGCAGCGGCACGAGGGTTCAATGAGGGTGGCTAAACAGAACTGGGTGGGGTTACGGAAAAGAAGGGCAGAAAGGGAAATCCTCGTTAGGTGGGAGGGGAGAGAGGGAATGCCCCAGGACAGAGCTGGGAGCCGAGGAGGGTAGTTCTCGGGAAACCGGCAAAGAAATCACTCACGTCATACGTGTGGAAGCTCTTGCCCACGCAGGTCGTAACGTAGAACCGGCGCTTCAGCGAACTGAACCGCACCACGTGCGGGATGTCATTACTAAAAAGCCCCAGGGCTCGGAATCCAGCGAAGAGTGAGCTCGCCGTGCGGCCTTCCACGTAGCGTTCCATCTCCGCCACGGTCCCAATTCCTTTCGGCTCTGGTCCAGAGGGAAACCGCGCACGCTGCACCTCAGCACGTCTCAAGAAGAACCTTTGCCAGAGCTGGAAACTTGCAGCGCTTCCGGTACCTGCTGCCAATGGCGTTTGTGCGGACTGCCCTTAGTGCAACATGCAAAGAGCTCCCTCCTCAGCCCGCAGGAGATGGGCGACTTTGGTTCCGCTGGCCTCCGTGTCCCCACGTTGTTCTGCGGTGCGCTCTAGCTCTGTGGCTGGTGGAACCTTATGGTTGGGGAGCGGGAATCGCTGCGCCCTGGAAGGAGAAGCTTGTGGTGATGATGATGATGATAATAATAATAATAGTTTTAAAAAGTATAAACCCCCGAGACTATCGAGAATATTTGAACACTGGCTATTTGACGATATAGAGAAGTTACAGTTAAATTTTAAATCTATGATAGTAGTAAAGATCCTATATTTTGAAGATACATATTTACAGATGAAATGATTACAAAATGTGTGAGGATTTACTCCAAAATAATTGTAAATTAGAAGCCAGATTTGATGAAATAAGATTAATAATTGTTGAAGCTAGGGAATGGGAGCGTTCATAATGCTATACTTTAGTATAAGATGGAACTATTCCATAATAGAAAACATTTTTGCTTTTTAAAACTGAGCTTGTTTACACTAAAAAAATCAGAATATTAATTGTTTATTAATTTTACCACTGAATCATGGAAATATATATAATTTTCATTACTAGATGTATATTTTTAAAGTTTTCTGAGTTGTGAATAAAGCAGGCAGATATTGCTTTTTTTAAAATGTTTTTTTTTTTTTCCTTTTTTGGTACCAGGGATTGAACCCAGGAGTACCTTATCATGGAGCCACATCCCAGCCCTTTCTTGTATTTTATTTAGAGACAGGGTCTCCTTAAGTTGCTGAGGCTGGTTTTGAACTCATGATCCTGCTGCCTCAGCCTCCCAAGTCACTGGGATTACAAGCAGGTGCCACCATGCCCGGCCAAATATTGATTTTATACTCAGAATAAATACTTTTCAATATATTGGGAGCTTGGGAAGCTGTAAGGATGAACTTAAGCCTGAGCCTAAGCAACTCCATTTCAAAAACTCCAATTTGAAACCTGCAGTGTCACCAGGCACAGCCAACAGATCCCTCCAGTAAGGCCACAAACACATTACTTCCCCTCTCCCTGATAAACAGAGTGAAGTCTCTGGCAGGCTGTCCTAGCCTGACAGGAGGGAAAGGGAAAAGATCTGGGTAGAGACCACCAGACCAGATGTTTCTGACCCCAGGGTAAATGACGTCATGGAGAAATATGGTGGTAGCTGATATGGATTGAAAGGGGGGTCAAAAGCCCCCAAATTTAGTATAAATAATAGAGTTAATGAAAAGGGATTCAACCAGCTGAAACAAGGATGTACTGGAGCTGGAGAGCCTAATGAGGACCTGACATCTCATCACTTGTCATCATTTCTTGATCCTCTGTGTGGTCCTCACGGCTCTCAAACTCTACCACCTCGTCTGGACTTTGGTGAGAGCCACAACTTCTCCATACCGCCCTCTCCTCAACCAGTCTCCACTCCACACCAGGAAAAGCCTACCTTAGTTCCAGATCTGATCACCGTGGCCTGAGCGAGTGTGCATCTGCTGGACATAAAGCCTAAGGCTTACTTTTGAACTTAGCATGCAGAGGGAATGTCTGTCATTAGCCTGTCATGGTTAAGTGTGTTTGCAGTGCCTAGAATTAATCTAGAATTATTTTCAGTGAATTAATTAATCTAGAATTATTTGCTGTGAATTATGCCTATTGCAGTGACTAGCCTTAAGAATTGTCGTTTTCTTGATTAACAACCTATAGTGTCAGCTCTCTGGAGGCAGCTAGCACGAGGCTAGGGAGCACTGAGCCGCCCGTTGTGCCCTGCGATGCCCAGACTAGCAAACAATACAGTCAGGATGGCTAAATGTGACCCCAAGAAACCAAAGGGCAAGATGTCTGCTTATGCCTTCGTTGTGCAGACTTGCAGAGAAGAACATAAGAAGAAAAATCCAGAAGTCCCTGTCAATTTTGCAGAATTTTCCAAGAAGTGCTCTGAGAGGTGGAAGACAATGTCTGGGAAAGAGAAATCTAAATTTGATGAAATGGCAAAGGCAGATAAAGTACGCTATGATCGGGAAATGAAGGACTATGGACCAGCTAAGGGAGGCAAGAAGAAAAAGGACCCTAATGCCCCCAAGAGACCACCATCTGGATTCTTCTTGTTCTGTTCAGAATTCCACCCCAAGATCAAGTCCACAAATCCTGGTATCTCCATTGGAGATGTGGCAAAAAAGCTGGGTGAGATGTGGAATAACTTAAGTGACAGTGAAAAGCAGCTATATATCACTAAGGCTGCAAAGCTGAAGGAGAAATACGAGAAGGATGTTGCTGACTATAAGTCTAAAGGAAAGTTTGATGGCACAAAGGGTCCTGCTAAAGTTGCCTGGAAAAAAGTGGAAGAGGAAGAGGAAGAAGAGGAGGAAGAGGAAGAAGAGGAGGAAGAAGAAGAAGAGGAGGAGGAGGATGAATAAAAAACTGTTTACCCGTCTTCTTGTGAATACCTTAGAGTAGGGGAACGCCATGATTGACACATCTTATTTGAGATGTGTCTGTTACTCTCATTAGGTTTAATTTCAGAATTTGATCATGATCATATTGTAGTCTCTCAAAGTGCTCTAGAAATTGTCAGTGGTTTACATGAAGTGGCCCTGGGTGTCCAGAGCACTCTAAAACTGTATCAAAGTTGTACAGATTTCCAAACATTTTTAAAATGAAAAGGCACTCTCGTGTTCTCCTCACTCTGTGCACTTTGCTGTTGGTGTGACAAGGCATTTGAAGATGTTTCTGGTATTTTTTTTAAATTTGTAAGGTGGTGTTAACTATATGGTTATTGGCTAGAAATCCTCAGTTATCAACTGTACATATATATAGTCTGTAAAAAGAACAAAACAACCGAGACAAACTCTTGATGCTCCTTGCTTGGCGTTAAGGCTGTGGGGAGAAGATGCCTTTTGGAGGGGCCGTAGCTCAGGGCCTGGACTGTGAGGCTGGACCTGTTGACACTGCAGTGGGCATCCATTTAGCTTTAGGTTGTCTTGTTTTTGTATATAGTGATATAGCATTCTGCTGCCTTTCTTAGTTGTGGAAAAAGGGGGGTCAGCTGGCATGAGAAGTGTTTGAATTTTTTTTAGTTAAGTGCAGTAGATTTTAAACTTTGTTTTCAAACAAACTGTAGAACTCTTCGTTGTCAGCAAAGAGCCACTGCATCAATGAAAGTTCCAGAACCTTCTGTACTTAAATGCAATTTGCAATTTTATTTTTTTTTGTATGTTTAGAATGCTGAAATGTTTTTGAAGTTAAATAAACAGTATTACATTAAAAAAAAAACTATAGTGTGAAATTGTATTGAGTAATTTGAGTGAATAAAGCATTGAAAGGGGCAGAAATGCGTGGACATTCTTTATTTCTCTCCCTTGACTACATATGTCACAATTTTGCCCCCTCACGATAGAAGGGGAATTGGAAATGTTTCCTAACCGGGAGTGTATAAAGCCCTTGACGTCTATTATTTTCATATGCTCAAAATAAGGTTGTGAAGGAACAAAATTTATATTGCTGCTTTGTATATGAGAAAATGGGTTCATTGGATGACTTCCCAAAGCTCCAGAACTATTTGGTGCCCAAAGCCTGACTAACAGGTTTAGAGAAGGAAAGAAGAATGGGAGATCACTGAAAGGCAGTTGGAGTTTGGGAGAAATATGCATTCAATAAACGTTATTTTCAAGATCAAACACTGGGCCACGTAATGGGTGTATGTTCACCTTGGATAAAGATCCTGAAGTTCCCATAGTTTACCTAACTTTCCCAAAGTCACTTAAATGATGGTAGTATTGATACTGCCAGTTACCAGTGACTAGTTCTGCTCCCTCAAATGTTTAAATTTGAACATTAGAGGAGCATGCCCAGGCAAACATATAAAGCAGGGTTTATTTAAAAAGGGGTAACAGACTTCTCCCTGGAGGGAGAAGGGGGCCATAGGGGGTATCCTGGTATCCCAAGAAGTGAGATGTTCTGCCCTTTTTATATGTCCTAGGCTTCCTCTGGTCTCCTGCCTCCCCCCCCCACCCTCCCCCCCCATCTTTCTCCTTCCTGCATACTTGATTAGGCTCAGGACTAGGCCCAGGAATGCTTGGTGGGACAGCCCAAAGGTGGGAAACCTGTGGGCTGAAGGGGGAAGGGCAGGATGGAGTAGCCAAGGACACATTAACAACCTTATAGCTCCCTATAGGGAGGGGCAACTCCTGGGACAGGTTACCTTGGCAACAGGTTGGAGCAGGAGCAGGTTCTTGATAAGGGTGGAGGAAGGGCTCTGAAGGAATTAACGTTTCAATCCTTGGACAGTCTCCAACTTGTTGGACTCACTCAAAATTGGCCTGACTCGATTTACCTGTCTATACTGACTGCCTATTTAATTCTGGCTTCAGTATAACAGTTGGAATTTAGGTTTGACAAACAGATCCACCTATGCTTTTTGACCTACAGATAGTGAAACAAAAGTTTTAGGATCAAAGCTGAATTGGAAAATCTAGTAGTATGGCAGCAGTAAATATGCATGTTAGCTGTTCCATTATGATAATTTGAAAGACGGGTATTATGGGCTGATTGTGGGTTTCTAGTTTTAGCATTCAGCCAGAGTTCATTTCACCAATCTTGTTACTTTCTTCAGTTAGTTGCTATTAAGTTGCCAGCTAGGCATGAGAATGTGTGATTAAAAAAAGGAAACTAGCTGTTATCATTTTTACTTATACAAACCACAAAGACACTATCACAAATTTAGAATTTAAAAAGGTGAGAATAAGGGTCTAGGATACTGTGGTAGAGGTACTATATAACTGACAAATGATCATTTTCAATTCCATTTAATGAATTAGTGCTTCAGATTATTCGGGCAAATAAATAGCTATGTCATGTTATTTTGAACTTTCTTTTAAAAAAGTCATATATGACTGTTTCTGAACCTTTATATAATACAGGCAGTTTCTGAGAAACTAATGTGGCTCCATTTTTAAAAAATAAATAAATAACAGCAGCTTCTACCTCAAGTCCTATCCTAAGTAAGGGGGCCTGACCCTTGTCCTTGGAAAAACCCACAGAGCACTCCTAAGTACAAACACACCCTGCTGAGTTGTTTGTCTATAAATAACAGGAGAGATCTGTGGGCCAGGTGTCCCTGACTCAGTTAGGCTAGGTGAGGACCCATAGCAACCCCCCTAGCAACCTCCAATCAGCATAAGACAGGGAAAATACCTGGGATGCCAGATGACCCCCAAGTAGTTTATGGTGGTTGATATCATGTTGGGAAATCATGTATTTTAGCACATACACCCCTCGTGGCCTAAACCAATCTGTTCAAACGAACCCCCCTCTTGTACTAGCCAATCACCCCTACCCAACTTGTTCCCGCCAGTGAATGTGCCAATCAATGTTAAGAGTTGTTGTTTGATTTTCCCTCAGTATGGAATGATTTGCTGTGTGATGTTGTGACGCATAGAGTATCCCCCCAAAACCTATAAAATCTCACTGAACAAAGGACCAGGACTCACTCCCTGGGACCGCTGTGTCTGGAATGGTTGTGAGTTCAGGCTCGAGCTTGCAATAAAGACTCTTGTGTGATTGCATTGGATTCGGCTCCTGGAAGTCTATTGGGGTCCCAGAATCTGGCATAACATTTCTTTTTTGTTACTCACTTTGTTTATTATGATAATGAGCCACCACCAAGTTGGTCCTTAGTATTCTTAGCTCCATCCCTTTGTGAAGTTACTCTCACACTGTTTAAAGGGTTGTCCCTATGTAACCAGGTTGAATCATAAAACACATCAAAACTTCTGGCCTATTGCTGCTTCTTGGGTTACTAACTCTGAAGGAAGTCAACTGCTATGTTGTGGCTTACACAACAAGAAACTGAGGGCCTCCCACCAACCACCAACACTACCCTGCAGACAGGTGAGTGATCCACCTTGGAAGCAAATTCTCCAACCCCGCTCAAGCCTTCAGATGACTACAGACTTGGCTTCATATCTACTGTAACCTCACAAAGAAATGTGAGCCAGAACCACTTGATTAAACCACTCCTGAATACCTGAGACCAACTGTATGACAATGTTTATCATTGTTTTAAGTTACCAAGTTTTAGGGTAATTTGTTACACATTAATATGTGCCCAGTATTCTTATGCTTATCTTTCTAACAAAATTTGAAATTTGTACTTCATTCTCATTGTATTGATTGACTACATTAGAAATCCAAAGATGTTTCAAGATTTTTTAGCCCACCCCCTCATTTCATTGATGAGTAAACTACTATGGACTATAATTCTGTAACTGGTTAGTGGAAGAGAGGATGCTACGTATCAATTCTCCTACTGACGGTCCAAGACTGAGTCTTAATTTTTTCTGGAAGCAATTCTTCCTGACTGTCCATTTCCCCTCTGGTTGTGGAAAATGTATGAGAACATCTGGCTGTCACTGATTCAATAATACCACTTAAACATTTTGCCATAATATTGTTATCTAGGGCATAAATGAGAGATTTACTTAATGGCAATTTCAATCTCAAATCTGGAAACTATAGAAAATGCTTGTGCTAGCCAAACTCTTTGAGAATTGTTACTTAAATATCACAGCATAGAGAAACTTTTTAAGCAACAAACTATTTATTTCAACTCTTTTTATAGAAATCCTCTTTTTAATATACCAAACACTACTATCGGTTTTAATTAAAAAAATACTTATTCTACTTCACAGTTTTGCCTTTGGCCAATGAGAGATTGGCTTCTTCTCTAATTGCCTATTTTACATTAGCTGCAGACACAGTGCAAAAAATTATCAATGTTGCTGCCTTTATGGAAGTTTGCCATGGAAATCGAAGGTGATGCCTTTCAAAAAAAAAAAAAAACCATTTTAGAAATTTTATCTTATTAGACAACAACAAATGAAACAATTTTTCAATAGTACCTACCCATGTAACATTATGCTATTCTGTAGTAAGGCTGGAACAATTGTCTTTGTTCTAAAAAAAATTACATTTTTCTTAATCATCCTGGGAACTCATAGCTGAGCATTCCACAGAAATAAGCTGGGGTAATAGGACATGTGAGCTAATAGTGTCAGAAGACAATATGGTAGAAATATTCCTTAATATTCTATGCTCTTGAGAACTTCTCTGACTTGGATACCAAAACTTTAGGCTCCCAATGATTTGTAAAAGGTTAGTTCTCTGGAGGACATCGTCTCTCATGTATTAATTTAAATATTCCACAAGGTATTTTCCCTGAGCAGAATATCTGGTATGAAATTAGTACCAATAAGGTCACTGTCTTTCTTTCATCTTCATTCAAAAAACTATGCTATGTTATATGGATGACAGTAGAGACTTTTCTTCTCCATTCACTATCAGGCCTTTCTTCCACTTACAGACTAAGATGTGAGACAAAAGCAAGGAATTTATGAAAAATTTGCCTGAGAATTTATAT